TCAGGATCAGAGCAACTGGGACTTGAAGGCACTCTGGTATAGGATGTTGGAATCACAAGCATCAGGTAACCCATTGTGTACAACAGTGGCCCCAATATATATTTTTTTTAGATTTTTTATTTATTTATTTGACAGGTAGAGTTTACAGTGAGAGAGAGACAGAGAGAAAGGTCTTCCTTCCGTTGGTTCACTCTCCAAATGGCCGCAACGGGCAGAGCCGTGCTGATCTGAAGCCAGGAGCCAGGTGCTTTTCCTGGACTCACATGTGGTTTGGGCCATCCTCCACAGCTATCCCAGGCCACAGCAGAGAGCTGGACTGGAAGAGGAGAAACCGGGATTAGAACCAGCGCCCCTATGGGTGCTGGCACTGCAGGCGGATTATTAACCTAGTGTGCCTTGGCACTGGCCCTGCCCCGATACTTTTAAAGAAAACTTAATTTAACAACATTTAGTCACTTAATTATTCACCATCAAAGTATTAACTAAGATATTTATTATAAAATGTCTTAATTTGTGAGGTTCCCAGCTGTGAGCATCTTTTATTGTTTATTTGTAGTTGTCCCTTGGCTTTCTGAACCTGCTGAACTGTCTAGACAGTGAGACATAAAAAGCAAACAAGGCATTGACTTTTTAACTAATGATACATGCTGTGTATAATGGGTAATATAAGCACAAATTCAGTGATTAAGAGGTGAAAGAAGGCAATTCACACACACACACACACACACACACACATAGATGTATATATGGGAGATTAGCTGGAATTAATTATAAAATATGAATAGTGGATCCTAAGGCAGTATTTCATTGGCATGTAAGAACTTTAAGACCAAAATGCATCTGGATTAATTGAAATGATTCACATATTTAAAATATGTGTTACAATTATTACCCCAATCTCAGAATTACCTTATAAGAAATGGCAAAATGTTTAAGAATCACCTACATGCATTTGCACATGCAACACACACACAGAGAAGACTTCTAGAATTAACTTTCCAACAACTGCTTAATGACTGTAAAACTAATTTAATCATTTGGATTTCCCATGTTTCCCATTGTATATTTGGATTGAATTAAGATTTTTAAAGTCTCTTCCAGGTCTAAAATTAGGATAATAATCAATATGAATGGAATCATAAAGCTGCCTTGGATATTTTCAATAAAGCAAAATACTATGGACTTCCCTATAACCTGAAAAATTTAATTGAAATGTAAAAAGATGAGTGTATTCAGGAAATTATGTGCTACTATTGCTCCACATTTGACCTTGAATGGTTAAATTTCTATTTAAACTCCCCATTATCTCGGGTCTTTTATACTTCGAATAGTGATGAGAATGTTATGTTTCTAAAATTATGGCTATAATTACCTTTTCCTCAGTCGAGCACATTATGAGTGTCAGTGCCATTCAAAGCCTTACAAGCATTTTAATTTCATGTATTAAATTTAAATATTGATGTGTATGTTCTCTGATTGCCTAACAGAGAATAATGCAGTGAAGAAAGTGCACATAGGTAGTTCTAGATTCTTTGACCAAATCCACTACAGTGTGCATTATGTTTATGATGCTTATGGAAAGTGGACAGGCATATAGGAAATTAGAACAAAATGTCATAGAATAATCTTTGTTAATTCAAATGCACAGATTCTTGGACTATAATAAGCTTTCATTTTCGGGAGCTGCATGGTATGGAAAGAATGCAGGCATAGACTGTGGAATCAGATAATCTAGGTCTGAATTCAGGCTATACCACTTATAGTATATGCCTGAGTTAAGGACCTGAAACTAATTGGTTCCCATTTGCAAATAGACAGTAATAAACGTTTTTGCCTTATAGGTATGTGTTGATTAAAGTAGATGATTCATGTAGAGAGTTTACCTAGTACTGGATTGTAGAAAATACTGTAATTATTCCATTTAATCTTAGGCCATGCTCATTGAGTGCCAACCTAGGGAATTCATGCTCAGAATGTTGTCTAGTTCAATCCCCAATTCAGGAGAAAATTTTTAAATGATCATTTCCAAAAAGCACACAAAAAGTTTGTTTGGCAGTGGTGATGGGTTCAAGCTTAGTTAAATCAATGTAGTCTAAACTTTAATTAAATGTGACATATGGCCGGCGCCGTGGCTCAATAGGCTAATCCTCCACCTTGCGGCGCCGGCACACCGGGTTCTAGTCCCGGTTGGGGCGCCGGATTCTGTCCCGGTTGCCCCTCTTCCAGGCCAGCTCTCTGCTATGGCCAGGGAGTGCAGTGGAGGATGGCCCAGGTGCTTGGGCCCTGCACCCCATGGGAGACCAGGAAAAGCACCTGGCTCCTGGCTCCTGCCAGGATCAGCGCGGTGCGCCGGCTGCAGCGGCGGCCATTGGAGGGTGAACCAACGGCAAAGGAAGACCTTTCTCTCTCTGTCTCTCTCTCTCACTGTCCACTCTGCCTGTCAAAAAGTAAAAAAAACAGAAAGAAAAAAAAATAAATGTGACATATGAATCTTTTTGATGTTTCCCTTCAATGTATATGCTAGCACCATCTTTTCAACATCTTTGTCTCCATTGACTCTTCTGACAATTCTATTTTTTGGATAACTTTTTGTACTTTTAATTCATTTCCTTTAAAACCACAATCTGTTTGTTTCCCCTAATTATCTTGTGTTTTGAAAAAGTTCTGCTTCTCTTCCAGGTTCTTCCTCTCATATGACATTATACACATGTCAATTCTATCTAAAAGATTATACAAACTTTTCCTTGATTATATAAGTCTATTTAGCTAATCGTATATTTTTTCTAACTTCTCCAGCTAATCATAATTTTTAACAATGTACTTCATATCTTCTCAACTGACTCCATTCTGTCGCCTGCCCTCACAAATCCATAAAGATCTCTCTAACAGAAGATACCAGAAATCTCTGAAGTTCTAACTCCAGTGGATAATCTTACCCTTCATCTTACCATATTTGTTCACTTGCTTTGCTAGATTGCTTATTCATTGTCAGACATTCTATACTTTTGGACTCCCGTGAGTTCACACCTGCATAGTTCTCCATGCATTTCTTTGATAAGTCCTCCTATAACAGCTTCATGAGTTCTGTTTTTATCATCCAACCTCATAAGTATATCTTTTAAATTTTATTTGAAAGACAAAGAGATAGACATGCACACACACACACACAGAGGGAGGGGGAGACATATTTTCCAGCACTACGTCACTCCTCACATACCTTCAACAGCTAGGGCTGGGCCAGACTGAAGCCAGGAACCTGGAATTCCATCTGGATTTTCCACATGGGTGGCAGAGACCCCAGGAGTAGAGCCATCATCTATTGCCTCCAAGGGTATTCATTGGCAGTAAGCTGGAATTGGAAGTAGAGTGAGAACTCAAATCCAGGCCCTCTCTTATGGGATCTGGGAGTCCCAAACTGCACCTTAACCTATGTGCTACAATGTTGCCCTCCAGCCTCACTCAGAGATCTCTTCTATACTCAATATACTTGTAAGTCTGCATGTGATCCACTACATATTTTAACAACTGTGCATCATTTCTCAGATTATTGTTTTATCCCCAGGTCTTGAGCACAATACAGTCACTCAGCTTCCAGATGATATATACATCTTTATAACTTCAAAGCATTTCAACTATATAATTTTAATTTTCTCTTCAACCATTAATATATCTCGAAATAATCTGTTTGTTGTTGGATTGTTGTAATAAATAGTAATAATAACATTCAACTTCAGTTTGATACCACTTGAAAGTCTTGGTAAATTGAATTTTACCAAGATTGGATTCGATCTTTCATCTGCATGTTTGTATTCAGGAAGATTATCTGTCTGTAAGTCTGTATCTATCTATCCATCCTCTCACATATATCCTATCCCAAGTCTTCTGTTTTCTAGGCAAATAACCTTGCTCTTTCAGGTTTTGAGGTAAAGATTTTTATGTTATAAATAATAATTTCATAGGATGCTAATGATAACTCCAAGGACAGCTTTAATGTTTGTTTATTTTCATTCACTTGAAAGAATGACAATGAGAAGAAGCAAAGGAGGGAAAGGTAGAGAGAGAGAGAGAGAGAGAGAGAGAGACTTCACATCTGTTTCATTCCCCAGATACCTGCAACAGCCAGGACTGGGGTAAACTTAAACCAAGAGCCTGTAACTCAATCCAGGTCTCCTGAGTATGTGGTAGGGCCATAGCAGTTAAACCATTATCCAGTGCCTCTCAGGATGCATTAGCAGGAAGGTTTATCAGAAGCTGAGCAGGTGTGATGTGAACCTGCAGTGCTATTATGGGATGTGGGTGTCCCAGGTGGACAACTTAACTCACTGCTACAATGCTTAACCCAAAGAGCATGGTTTTAGATAGTAATATTACTGTATTTGTGTCTCTTGCATCTTGACATTTGGCTACACCTGCAAGTATAAATGAATTAGAGTATATATGGTTTATTTTCACCATCTTAACATCATGGTTCTGATGCAATCTCTTTATTGGCAACATATAAAACCATAGGGCAGTTGTACCTAAAATACACTTGTATCTTAGTATTGTTTTCAGGTTTGGCAGTATTTGAAATATCATGCATACTTTACTTAGATGTTTCTAGGAGATTGTGTTTATCAAAACATTCCATTCTATAAGTTATAATTTGTAAAATAGAGAAGGGATTTCAGGTATGGGTTTTGTAGTCAAGGTGTCTGCATGTAAGTCTGCATTTAGGAAAACAAAGTTGAGGGTGGTACAAGAATTATTTCCTTTGGTAAGAATATATTCTTATGTAGGTACATATAGTGTCAAAGATTATAGATGTCTACATGTTTAAAGTTACAACTATTCCATGAAAGGAAATTAGATCAGTAGAATGAACTCTAACAATCAACAGAAAGCTTTAAGGTCAGTTAGAGTTTTTTGAAGCTGTAAGGAAAATCCAACAAGCACTTAAAAAAACAAAAGCAGTGAAGACTTTTACATATTTTGGTTTTTTTTTTTTTAATTTACTTTAGGGTCCAAGTTTTCTCTCCGAGGCACTTTTTCCTAAACATGCAACAAACATAGAAGAAATGGATCCTTTTTTCAACCTTCACGAGACCATTACTAAGGTAGGGAAGGGATGCCTTCATGAATGGGACAGAAAAGTTTTGTTCTTTTTTGTTTGTGTATGGGGGAAAGGAAAATATCCAGTCAAGGGAAATCTATTTTTATTTGTAGAAAATACTAGAAAGGATTTCACTATACAATACTACTTTGTTAATGGTTACAGATGATAAGCAACTGTTTCAAGAACAAACAGATCTATAGCTGATGATTTCTATTTAAAACCAATCCTTACTAAAAAATTCATTTTTCTCAATTTGAAAATGAATTTATGGTGTATTCTCAAATATACTGCTGTGCTTTAAATTAAGGGTGGCACAAAATATGTCTATGGATTTCTCTGTCTTCAAAGTTTTGTCTCAATATTTAAGGTACTTATTTGTCATATTTTTTAGTTTCAGTAAAAAGGTGGTCTCTTTTTATATGAGAAAAACTGATTTTATAAGAAATATTTTTACACTATAGTGGTAATACTTATATTTTTACTGTATTCTCCTAAATGTAAGCTTTCCATATAAAGAAAATTAAGTTTTATTGTGTGGAGCAAATAAATTTAATGACATGACAACATAGGAACTTTTACATTTACCAATATTTATATAACTTGTCATAACTTGCCTTTTTGGGAATAGACTTTGTAGAGAATATTTGCATTTCAGTACCATTAAAATAATCCATATTTATGTACGCTGATTTGAAAGATTTAATCATTTTTAAATCTTGGTGAAAGTTTAAAAGGCTGTTTTACTTTAAAAATAAGAAATGTTGTAAAATGAATTGAGCTCAACAACAGGCAATAGAATGAGCTCACACTGTATGTCTGTTTCTTACATATAAGAGTTGTGTGAATGTATTTTTTTTCTGAACACTTAAAATAAGGGGAGCTTGAATTCTATTTTACTTGAAAAATTATTCTAAACAAAATATATGAATCTTAAGTATACATTTATTATGTTTTCCTTTCCAATCTATCCAGTTCCATGATTTAGTTTATGATCCTTTGAACATCTTTTATTATTTGGAGATAATAAAGTAGATATAACTCCTAAATACATCATTAGTATTTGAAATCTTAACTGTATCTCTATTATTTGGTGATGGATACATAGATAATAGATGGACAAATGTATATAATTATGAGCTTATATAAAATATATTTGGATGAATATATATTAACATATATTTTAGATATTTAGATTTCATTCTTATTTATATTTAATAATAGTAATTATATAATAGTAATTCTAATAATAGAACAATAAATTCTAAGGCTGTAAAATTATAAAGTTAATAGATAGAATTTCAGTCAAAACAGCTGGTACTTGAACCAACACCCATATGGAATGCTGGCACTGCAGGCAGTGGCTTTACCCACTACACCACAGTATGGGCCACAACACTGTTTTATTTTCACTTGATCTTAGCCAAAAGGCCGAGAAGTGATGCTACTGTTTTATTTTCTACACCAAAAAGAAGCATACTCAGAATTCCCCTCCTCACCAAAATTCTGTGATGTCAAAAGAAATATTTATGTCTGTGTGTAACAAAGATGTGAAAGCATATAACTAAATTAATAAATGCTAAGAATACACTATTAATGTACAAAAATGGAGTCTAAATTTAATTTCTGTAGAGTTGGGGTCTTTAGAATACCTTGTTTGACTGAAAGTGTTAGTGATATTATACAGCTTATCTCAAATTTTGACATTCTAATTCCATAACCTAGTGTAATATTGTAGAGAAAACAGAACACTTTGAAAAAAACTAGCTAGATATAAATGCCGAATTACCAATTATGGCAATATGCTATAAAATATAAGAAATAATTTGCAAAATATGAAATAATTGTTATTGGTATTATAGTATATTTAAGAAACTAGAAGTAAATAAAAATTAAAGATGGTATTTTTTCTTTGTGCCAGTGAAAGTTTTGACTTGATATTACAGTGCAGCACAATCAGATATTTTATTTTACCTAAATCAATGCAATAAGCCGATATTTATGTAGATCATATACTCTTTCCTTGTGAGTAATCCTTTATGTCAAATTAAATTACAAGTTCTTTGTTTTAAAATGTTAATAATTTATAGTTGCTGCTTTGCTGAATTTAAACTATGTTATCAAGTAAATAAACCATACATATACACTCATATGTGGGTTATAAACCATGAGACCCTGGTTTACAACCTGGTTTACAGTGTTGTCCTAATTTTTTTTCTATACAAAGTTTAAATTTGTCTTGGAATTTGTCTTTTTGATATAAAGCATGGAACCTAAGGTAACAATGAATGAGGCTCAATATTGATGCCAAAAACTGTAATTCATCATGACGCCAATGACAGTCAGGTGCTAAGTGTGAAGTAGCCTTAGGGCAACACATGCTGCGTGGATGTTGAAGATGTTTTTCTTATTCTATATAATTACCAAAAAAAAAGTCCCACAGCATTTTTGTTTTTAAAAATCATCATAGAAGCCAAATTAATTCCTTCAAAGACTAAAACATGAATTTATTAATATACATCCTAGCTGCTTAATTCCTTGGTGATTGAATAAAAATCATCATAGATTCAAGTTTTTAAATCGGCTTATTTCTCCTTCAACACATAGGAATTTTCCAGTTATGTTTCTACATTATCAACATTTTGCTTATATGTTTTTATTACTTACCTAAGCATTCAATCAGTCTGCAATAAGCCAGTAACACACTTGCACCACAAAACGTTAATAAACAAGAGCAGGCCCAAAGGAGTAAAAAAGGTAAGTAAATCATTTAACATAAGATACTTCAACAGGTGATGTGTGAAAAATATGGGAGGGAAGAAGGTGGAGGTTTTGATTCTGCCTAGGAGATTTGAAGAAGTCACCAGAGAGGTGATATGGGAATTAAGGAATTTCAGCTTTATTTTAATGTCAGTGAGTTTCCCTTGAGAGTGTTTTAAAGATCATTAGTTGGTGATAACGTGTGAAAAATAATGATATGTATTTTGGAAGATGGAAGACAGAATTGAGAGACAGTTTTAGAACTGAATGACAGGTTATATGATATATGACATGTGAAGCAGAGGGAAGACTCAAAAATAATTTCAATATCTCTATCTTAGTCAAAGTTGATATTATTGAATAAAATTATTAACTAGATTGTGAATTGATTTAGAGAATATGATGTTGAGTTTGACATTGAACCTTTAGAGTCTTGGAGTGCCATAGGGCATCTACGTAGATACATAAAGGACACAGCTGGATATTTGAAGTTGGTTCTTCAGAAAGAAGTAGGAACTCGAAATGCGTTAGTAACCCCTATTGACATGTGGGTTTAAAGTAAAACAATAATCTCAATTAAATAATTGGAATTTTAATTTCTCCGTGCTATTCACCACAATTCACATATTTGATGACCACATATGTTGGTAACTTCTCTATTGGACAGCATGGATTATAGAAAATTTCATCTCCACTGATAACACAGATGGTGTGACTCTGGCAATATTTGTGCAGAGAACAAGAGCAAAAATAAGAGAGGAAAATAATTTTAAAAGGAAAACTCTACCCAGTCAACTGCTCATTTACTATACCTTTTAAACCAATTCTTTGAAATTCTTACATGGGTTCCATTTTTATTTATGCCCGATCCTCGAGTCTTTGCTATTCTCAGTGAAGAGATCCTCATGTTTGTTACCCTTTTCTTTAGTCTAGTTTTAACAAATATAATGTCATCTTCATTTTAGATTTGATGTATTTATTTATATTTAATACATTTTATGATTATATTTTTCACTAAAATTCTGTCCATAATAGACACCCAGTTAATGATGATGCAAAATTTGTGTGTATACACACATGCACCCAACACACACCTAAATCTCTATAGCCACATTTAGAAGACAGAGTCTTTAAAATTAAATATGAACACAGAGCATTTGTGGTCTCAGAGAAAAGACATCGTCTGCTTCATAATTGGATTGATGGTATATTTCATATGACACCCCAAGTGTTCTAATATATAAGTCCCTGAATATAAATGGCACATCCATGGAAACAAAAATGCCTTACATGTGGTACCATGGAAACCAAAAAACGATCTGTTTCTGCTTGTAAGCTTCCTCAAGAAATACTGGTGTATTAGTCCATTCATTGTTTTTCCCACAGTAAGAAAAACAATTTCTTCCTTTGTTATTAGTATTGGTATTGAATATGAAATATTGATAATATAGGGCTTTCAAAAATATTGGTCTTAAATGAATGTATATTTCATCCTATATTAATACTGTGTTTAAATAGTATTTCTATTAAAATTATTTGGGTACTATAATATCACAAAGAGGAAAAAGTGGAAACATTATGGCATTTATTCCCATTGTATACGTGGAGAAAGTGTCCCAGGGAGAATAATTTTAAGAATAAAGCAATATTTGTATAAAACCTAGAAATCAAGGTTACTAATTCTTTTATAGTTTGCATTCTAGCAGTAAAACTATATTAGGCTTTAATTTGTAGCTGTAAATTTTTACTCAGTTTTGCAGTAGTGCAAATAAAAAGGTTAATGATTTTGTCTTCAGTGATGAAAAACGTTTAAGTTATTCAAATTTTTACCAGTTTTGGTTATTATTAATTGCATGTGGCTGTCAATCATAATTAAGGTTAATTAAATTATGATCGCTTTTTTGAAGGAATTGTATTTGTTAACATTACTTTAAACATGTGACAATGACATAGAAAATTGTAATTATTTTAAAATATCATTTAAGTTTCAAAGGTATTTTGTATTCTTGAGACTAATAGAACTTCTAGCACAGTTATTTAAATGCCTAGAAAATCTGGCTATGATTTCTGATCTGAATGAGCAAATCTGAATGTCTTCCACATATTCCTACTATTGCTATACTGTCTGGATAAAATATGAAAGTATCATGTTCTATTTAGAAAAGAAAGTTTATGGATAGTCTTTAATACTGTGTGTTTCACATTTGAGGTTATTCTAAAGCTATGGATTTAAAGGGTTTGTTT